CGGGGCCTCCAAGCGCGGGCAGAGGGTGGCGCCAGGGTGCCCGCGGGGCAGGTCGGAGGGTCGGGGGCCCTGCCCTTTCTGGGGCGGGGGACGACCCGGACGGAGGGGCGGGCCAGGTCCGGCTAGAGCCGCTTTCTCAGCCTTGCCCCTTGGAGACGGTGGGCTCCAGCTCCCATAATGGCTGGCTGGGGGATCCTGGGAGCTGAAGTCCACCCGTCTTCAAGGGGCCAAGGCTGAGCAACGCCGCCGGAGTGAAGACCGTCGGAGGCTTTCTCTGGGCACCAGAAAGAGTGGCCCTTGCAGCTTCTTCAGGTGCATTTAGTTCGTTGATGTACTGCTTCAGTCTGACAGAGCTTCGGAGGGTCCGCGTCCACAACCCTTCGCTGCAAATAAGCTCTACAGCAAAAGTTTCCTTCCAGGGATATATAAATAATTCCTTCAGTTAGCCCCCTGGCCCCAAGAACCCCCAGTTCTTCATAAGGCCCAAAAGCTCAGGTTACAGCCAAAAAGAACATGCGCGTTTTTAAGATGTAACTGTCAAACGTGTATCTATATCCCATCAGGTTACCGGTAGACCTCACTTAGTGACTGCCTCATTTAGCAACAGTGTGAAGATGGTGCTAAAACTCAACTTAGCGACCAGTCCTCGCATTTACGACCTTCACAGTGTCTCTCTGCTCTCATTTTCATTTGCTTATTTACACCATATCAAGATGTCCTCAAAGAGAAAGAGAAAGAACCCCAGTTCAACTTAAGGAAGTAGCAAGAAGCAAAGGAAAGCTGAAGTAAAATTGTAAGCACGGTCACGATCACGTGATTTTTGCTTAGTGACTGCTTCGCTTAACAACCAAGTTGCTGGTCCCAATTGTGGTTGCTAAATGAGGACTACCTGTATTCCTTTCTTGGGGGTAAGCTGTGCCGAAAAGGAATAAGAAATTGGGAGAAAAAGAAATTTATGGCCAGGGATAAGACAAAGGAAAGGGCATCAAATCTTCTTTAAACCAACTTTAAACCATTTTACCTCCATACCTTTCCATCCTTGCACCCTTTCTGGCTTCTACCAGGTCTCTGCACTGATTCTTCAACCTCTCTCTTTTTCAGGAACTCAGCACCTCCATCCAAACACGACTTCCTCAGTCTTCTCCTTCCTCTCCACCCATTCACTCTTCTTGCACGGATTTGTTCTGCAATTTGATCTTCATTCATTTTTTTTTTCTGTATAACCGAATCACCTGAATGTGCATCTTTAAAACTAGTTGTTCACGTGGGCATTCAACCCACATTCATTCATCACATCCATTCATTCTTGACCCCCTCCCATTCCCACTGCATTCAACTTTTATGTTTCTCCTGACAGATCTAAGTCTCACTTCCCTATAACAAAGTACACAACACACACGAACGTCATAAACGTTCATTCCTCTCAAGAGAATGTATACTTTGCACAAAATTTCTACCAGCATTTGCACATTTAAACATTTCTGCATCCAACTTTCCATCTTTAGTAAATATTCTACCTAAACAACTTGGGCCTGGAGCTTTTCCTGATTTACTGTTTTTTATTGCAACCCATTATTTCTCTTACTGTCATAGTTCCACTCAATATCTGTTTTTGCTGTTTAGTTAATTTAGGCAGCTTTGACTTCTCTAGATATTCATCTGTTTTGAATCTCCTCACCTTTGTATAATTTTGCATAATACTTTTCAGATATCTTTTGCATTTCCGTATTGTCTATTGTCATATATTTTCCTTTTTGCAATTTTAATATTTTTCCTTCTTTCTTTCCTCAGTTTATACAGTAACCATTTCCGTGGTTTATTTGCTAATTGAAAATTGTTTTGCTTTGCAAAACTCATTCCTGTGTCTTGTTAACCAGCAACATAGAAAATTGTTGTTGTAAAAGTTTTATTTGTTTCAAAATAATTTTATTTCCTGGTGATTTTCTAAGTTCATTTTCTTTCCTTTGTATCTTTTGCATCTTTCCTCTCTTTGTTTTCTTATCCTTGTACTCTGTTGGATAGATTGTCCTCTGACATAATCTTTATTTGCATCCCAGACTATTGTTGTTTCTGTTTCTTTGTTCAAATTGAATTTAAAAAATTATTTTATTTGTTCTTCTCTTTGCTATTACTAAAGAATAGTAATAGTTCTTTTACAATTAATTCTTTATGCAACCAGGTTTCATTCATCCTCCATCTATATCCTCTATATTTATTCTTAAGAGTCAAAGTCACCGGATTGTGATCAGAAAAAGTTCTGGGTAATATCTCTCCTTTGTCAATCCATTTAAGTAGACTGATGGAGATCCAGAGCATATCAGTTGTTAAAATTTTTCATTTATGCTTCACTTTTTCTAAGCAGATATTCATCTCAGCCACTGTTCTCATTCGTTCTTGGTCTCCAAATGGCCTGATCGCGTCTTCCCACCCACCCATCCAGCAGAATCATTTTTCCTCTGGATTGATCCATTCGGAATGCTTCCTTTCTGGTTCTTCCATGATCCCCGAAGCATAACACGCATTTTTCTTTCCCTTCGTTGATTTGCTAATTCCTGCTTTACCATTTACTGCTCTGACCTTCCAGTTCAGCCTCTTGGATAGGGGAGATGTTGACCTGCTTTGCCTGACGGGCCCACAGAGGCCATTGCTACTATAGCCACTCCTGCCCTGGTCACCTCTCCCTTGGATTATTGTAATTTCCCTAATAGGGGGCTGCTGTAGGAGACCGCCTAGGAATTTCAGCTGGTGCAAAATGTGGCTGCTATGCCTGGCAATGGCCACATAGGGCTGGGGTTCAAGACCCACATTGGCTGCTGATCTGTTTACAAGTGCAGTTCAAGCTGGTGGTTATCCATGAAGCCCTGCCTGGCACTTGATCTGGGTGTCTTAGGAAGCACCTCTGCTGGACAGAACCTGCCCATCCGATATATGGAAACAGAGTCCCACTCCTCTTGGGACATTCGGCAGGAGAGGACATTGGGCCTTTTCTGTGGGGCGCCTCTCCTATGGAAGAGTGGTCCCCAGAG